GGAGACAGCCGACGTACGTAGTGTGTGTGTATGTTTAGTGTAGTATATGTGTATTGTTAGTAGTATATATATATATATATATATATATATATATATATATATATATATATATATATATATATATATATATATATATATATATATATATATATATATATATATATATATATATATATATATATATATATATATATATAAAAAGTCTACCAACTGAATAAAACCATGAAAAAAAACACCACAGAAAATGCCCTCAAAATGACCATTTTAACCTAAACAAGATTAGAGGTTAGCTGTTCCCATCATGCACTGCATGGGTAAGGAGTTTTATAATGCGCGCACATACTGCATAGACCCATTCTCTCATGTCTAGGCCAAAATATGATGTTCACAACAAATTTGAAGGTGCTTTGAATTATGTGTAGATTTATATGGCCAATATGATCACACTGAAGTAGTTCTACACAACAGTGTGAAAGGGTTCAAGACGCATCTTACAATCACACATACTCCCTATCAATAATTTATTAATAATGAATAATTCAATCACCAGCTTATAAGTGGAATAAATTGCTTAAGCTTTTCTCCTCTGTAATAAGGTTCGAGAAATATCCAAATACGTATTATACACAAGTATTATTGAGTTCTGACATGCTATAGAAATTACTTTTTACATAAAGCACCTTTTCAATATTCATGTGGAAGAATCTTTTCCATACTGGAAACTTAATACAGTGGTCCCTCAATAATCGTCCATAATCCGTTCCTGGAAGTGGGACTATTATCGAAATGGACGATTTTCGAATCAATTTTCCCCACAAGAAATAATGTAAATCCAATTAATTTGTTCCAGACACACAGAAGTATCAACAATTTTTTTTTTACCTAAAAGATAGATTTACATGCACAAAAGAATGAACATTCAACATGACAGTTACCTTTATTGAAGGCTGCTGTTGATGAATGGAAGACAGGGAGGAGGAGAGAGGGAAGAGAGGTTATTTGGAAGGGGAATCCCCCCCTCCATAAGGACTCTAGGGCACTAATAAAATGTATAAATGAACATTGGTAATAGGGGTAGTTGATGAGTGGAATGGTCTGCCTAGTAGGGTGATCGAAGCTAAAACATTGGGTAGTTTCAAATTTAGGTTGGATAAATACACGAGTGAGAGGGGTTGGATTTGAGTCGGACTTACACCTGAGCTTATTGCTTGGGTAACATTTGTTCTGTTAGTGGGTTGGATTTGTGAAGGACCGGCCTAGTATGGGCCAACAGGCTTATTGCAGTGTTCCTCCTTTCCAATGTTCTAAAAGCTATGGCTTGGGTAGTTTCAAATTTAGGTTGGATAAATACACGAGTGAAAGGGGTTGGATTTGAGTCGGACTTGCACCTGAGTTTATTGCTTGGATAGCATTTGTTCTGTTGGTGGGTTGGATTTGTGAAGGACTGGCCTAGTATGGGCCAGCAGGCCTGTTCCAGTGTTCCTACTTTCTTAAAGGTCTTATTTAACATCACACTTACCAGTAGGGTGATCGAGGCTAGGACCTTGGGTAGCTTTACGAAGAGATTGGACAAATATACGAGTTGGAAGCTGAATTTGATTTGTGTCATTAGGTACGGGAGTAAATTCTTGGGTAGCTTTGGGTAGAGGTCATTTTGATAAGGACCTGCCTTGTATGGGCCAGTAGACCTGCAGTGTTCTTCCATTGTTATGTTCTTACTGGCTATTTGTTTGTGTGAGGGAGGGATGGCAAGCTTATTGTTGGAGAATATGACACTAATATCAACTCTATGGCTTATTTATCTATCACAATTCAACTAATATGACATAATAAACAATATTAATAACATAGAAACATGGAATATACTCTAGAATGAATAAAATAAGTCATTACGTATGTCACGAGAGGTGGTGGTGTTGTTGGGTATATAAGGGCCACTGAGTGTAAGCCGTCCATAATGGTGGTGAAGCATCAGCTGAGGCGGCGGTAGTTTTTGTAGCCCTATATAACTCCAACAACATTGGAGGAGTTGGTAGAATCGCTGAATCACTAAAGAAGAAACCCTCTACCACCATCACTACAACCTTCTACCACTATTACAGCTGTTACCACCATCACTACTATCTTCTACCACCATCACTACCACCAAAGAAAGCTTCTAGTGCCCGCCCTTTGGTAAAGAATGTGAGAAGCACATAATTTACGAAAAAGTTTGTAGAAAAATACAAAGATGGTGGTGGTAGAGTGGAAGCAGTTGTGATAGTGGTTGATGAACATAAGAACATAAGAAAGGAGGATCACTGCAGCAGGCCTGTTGGCCCATGCTCGGCTGGTCCTTCACAATTCATCCCACTAACGAAACATTTTCCCAACCCAGTCCTCAATGCTACCCAAGAAATAAGCTCTGATAACTCTATCCACTCATTTGGGACTTGCAAATGAGTGGATAGAGTTATCAGAGCTTATTTCTTGGGTAGCATTGAGGACTGGGTTGGGAAAATGTTTCATTAGTGGGATGAATTGTAAAGGACCAGCCGAGCATGGGCCAACAGGCCTGCTGCAGTGATCCTCCTTTCTTATGTTCATCAACCACTATCACAACTGCTTCCACTCTACCACCACCATCTTTGTATTTTTCTACGAACTTTTTCATAAATTATGTGCTTCTCACATTCTTTACCAAAGGGCTGGCACTAGAAGCTTTCTTTGGAGCCATGGTAGCTTATTTAGCACTTGCAAGCACTAAAATCAATGGAATATTATGAAATATTTCGTAGGAGCATGTGAGGGGACTGTCACTCACTGGTAAACAATGGCACACTGGCTGGGAAGGCAGGCCCAGGTGGCTCAGAGCATGAGTACCCGTCCAGGACGAAGGACGATTAGCGAGTTAACGGACCATTTGCGAGCCAATATTTAGACGAAAAAAACAGGACCATTTCCGAAATGGACGACTTTCAGGCTGGATGATTATTGAGGGACCACTGTACAGTGGAACCTTGATATATGACCAGCTCCCTACTCTAATAAAGCTCAGCACTCGACCAAACAAATATGCCCTGCCAGAACTTCGCTGTAAACTATTTCGTGTCTCTTCGCATTTTTTGGTGTTATTGTGTATTACAGTGGAACCTTGAGTTACGAGTTTAATCCGTTCCATGACCTAGTTCGTAACTCAATTTGCTCATATCAAATCAATTTTCCTCATTTAAATTAATCTGTCCCAGCGGCAAGACAAAATATTTCAATATACTAATGCCATCACTTCTACGGCTCATTTATCAATCACAATTCATCTAATATGACATAATAAACAATATAATTAACAGAAGCATGATATATACTCTAGAATAAATAAAATAGGGCATAATATGACGAGTGATGATGGCGGCGGAAGCGTCCGCGTTTCTTCCTTTTTCTATCAATCACTTTTTGCTACATTCTTAATGCTACACTATCACTGAACTTAACTGACACAATTTGTTTTAATTCCATGAAAATCATCCTTTTTTTTCTTCTCAGCACTGTCTTTTGCACTTATTTTCTTAGGACCCATGGTTAGAAAAAAAAATTTGGCCAAATGACTAAAAAATGCAAGCAAGCACGAGAGAACTGCTCCCACGGCGATGTAAACATGTGGACTCCTTACCGAATGTTTGCCAAATAGTGGCAGCATTCTGAATTATTACATACGTATGTATTACAGAGGACCCTTGGTTATCATCCATTCCTGCTATCGGCCAACTCAGTGATCAGCTGATTTTTCAGCTCCTGGTGATCGGCAGTTATTTCTGTGATCGGCCATTTCAGACGTGTCCGCCCGCCGGCTGGGGCAGCTTGTGTGTCAGTTTGGCTGTGTGTGAGGAAGCTTCTGCTCATACATCCAAACATTTTG